TTTCCCGTGGAAGAAGGGTGTGGGGTCCCTGGGTAGTGCTTGCCTCTGGCCCCAGAGCGTTCTGTTGTGTGGTGGGAGTGTGTGTTCAGCACAAGGACAAGGAGGGGGGATTTGCAGTGCTTTCTGCACCCCTGGAGAGAGTACCCTAAACTTAATTTGACTGTAAAGTTTGAGAGAGAATTCCACATCCTCTGAAGTTTACAAAGCCTTCTTTTGAACATAGCCTTTCCATAGCAGGAGTGGAGGAAATTTGTGAGGAAATTCTTTCTCATAATATGCAGGTGGTTTTAGTTACTTTGAATGAAGGTGTTTGTGTGTGTTTTACCAAAAGGAGTATTTCTCAGCTAAGTAGAAAAAAATCAGGAGGGGGGATGTTGAACATCAAACGTTGTTCGTATCTCTGTCAGTTTAATGTGTATTTATTTATGTCAAATTATATTGTTTCTTTGTCATGTTTTTTTATTTTCATCTTCTAAAACTACTCCTTTGAACAGAGGCTTGAAAGCTGCATGCAGATGTTTTCTTATTAAATTAAAAAAACAAAAACCCAAAAAAACCCAGGGCTTTACAGAAGAGTGAGAAGGAACAGGAAAGAGCAGGCAACCAAACCCATGCCTCGGGGATACCACCCCAAAGGTGTGGTGCTGATGTCTGTGCTGGCCTGTTCATTTATGTAGGAGATATTAAGGTCTGAGATCCCTCAGTATTTTCATAGAGCGTTGAAATGCACCAAGAACTAGTACAGTGTTATAAATACCAGATTCTGCCTTGCGTTATTGCTCAGAATCCTCCTTCAGATGTACAATGTGTAGTTCTTCATTCTGCTCAAGAGAAGGTGGGGAAAGGCAGAAGCAGTAAAGCTGGTAGGATAAGAGATTTCTATTCATCTAATTTTCTGGCAGAGGCAGTTCTCAGACGTGCCTTGGCAGTGTCTGTATTTAGTAGCTGTGTTCCTGGACGCTGGCCCAGTCACATGGCGCCGCTGGAACAAGTGACATGGGAATGATGCATTAGCCGAGACCCGGCACTGCGTGCCAGAGGAGGTGGGGAGGCCCAGCTGTCCGGGTGGCCTGCGCCCTGGTGCTCAGCAGAAATACTGGACCAAGCACCGCTTTTTCCCATCCAGCTGCTGCCGTTTGGCTCAACCTGTTTGGCTCCAGTGAAAGCTGGAGATTGGTTCCTGGAGGAGCCTTAAAAAAAGATAAACGAGACACCCTTCCCCACCACAAACCCTAAAGAGTGTTAAATTAGCAAGTAAACCTTCAGTTCTTCAAAATAATAAAGATTACTGCTATGAAAATCTGCAAAATGTTTTACTTAATTTAGATCAGCTGAGCTCTCCTAGCTGTTAGAAGATACAGAGGCTAAGGGGGGGAAAGTGGGATGAGAGGGGGAAAGTGGGATGGAAGGGGGAAAGTTAGTTAAGAATACATAAGGCTTTCTGTGCCCAGGAAAGGACTAGGTGATGGATCTAGGGTTCTAACCTTATAGCATAGTTTACCATTCTTTGTTTAAAGTCCTACTTTAACAAAAATAAACACACTTTTCTAAATGGTAAAACACAATTAAATATATGCACTTATTTGTGCAATTACAAGTCTTGAGCTCTTCTTTTTGCTAATGAAGAATTCAGTTTCTGGAGCCAGCAACCGAGAGCACTGTCTTTGTGCTGTTTATGGTTCTACTTCAAACACATTGTTCTTGTTGGGTTTTTTGTTTGGTTAGGGTGTTCTGGGTTTTTTTTACATTATCACTGAGATACTCTATAAAACCTAGCTCCCAAACTTCTGGCTTGTTAGATAAGCCAATGAACAGTGAATCCAAGCTTACTGATGTTGGCTGAGTTGTGAAACACTAGTTTAATAGGCTGTTCTTGATGCTTGTGGAAAGCTGATGTATGCAATTTATGGTGACTTTAACTTGTACAGATCTGTTTGTTAGCCTCTATCAGGTGTGTGTGGTTTCTGTGGTCTTTGTGCATGTGTGTGATGTTATTGCTTTCTAGCAACAAAGATGATGAAAAATGCTTACCATCTTGCAAAAATCCAGTATATTCTCTTTCCCTAATCAGGGAATCTGTGAAATTCTAGTTTTTCAGTGAACAAATATATCCAGTGTTGTTTTACTTTTCATACAGTAACATATAGAATTATCTTTTTTTTAAAAAAAAAAAAACAAACAAACAAAACTTTCTGTACAGTGATCTGATACAGAGAACTTTATTTTTCTCTACCAGAAGAACTCTTTCTACAGGAAAATCCAAACTGTCACCGAAGTGCTGCAAGTACCATGTTCCTTCACTTGTTGCATGACTAATCTGCAATGTATCCTGCCTAACTTGTGTGAAACTAGTAACTATGTATCATGCTTGAACAAGGTGGTTCATCTGAGGTTAACAGTGCTTTACCATATTAGGACTACTTTAAATCATCCTGGAAAAAGAATGTGGTGTGGCATCAGCACAACTCTTCCATATCCAAGGTTTTAAAGAGAGGAGCAATGCAGGGTAAATATTTCAAATTGAGAGGGAGGAGGGGAACCTACATCTTTTACATAAGCTATTCAACAGACTATAAGAGGGAAATTCATCGTTAAGCAATTGAAAATAGATTCTACTTCACTTTTAAACATGTGTTTTGGCACTCATCCTGAATGTCTGGGTCAGATATTTTTTGTGTATCAGTTTTGCTAAGTGTATGTTTTGCAAAAATGCTCACCGAAACAGCAGTTATAGTTCAAACTTTCTGTTTTCATGTGTTTCTCTAGCTTGCTTCTAAAAGCTGTTTGGAAAATAAAACCTTCCAGGGGACTCTGCAAATATTCTGTTAGATCTGAAAACAGTATGTAAGTTTTAGTGGACAGCTGTAACTTATACAGAAAATTACTCTTAATTAGATAACTCCATTGTATACATTTCCTCTTTCCTCCACCCCAAATTTTCTTGCTAAAGTATTACCTTGAGTTGAAATCCTTTAGGCAAATTGTCTCGCAGTGGAGATGAAGGACAGGAAATGACCTACAAACAGAGCAGGTGACATGCTGTCACACAGCTTAGAAAAAGACTGGTTAAACTTTACTTCCCAAAGGATTACTGGAGAGCAGGACTTTTTTTCCATTTTCTCTGTTATCTGCTCCTTGGACTCAGGGTGTTTTCCATGTGTGTTTGCATTTTTGTTGTTGTTGTTCAGAAACAGTTCTGTGGATTTTCAGTAGTAATTCCTGAGGTATTTTGGGAGGTCTAGTTATATAGTCTGTGATGTGAATCCAGTATTGTGGTCATTTAACTGAATGTTTCAGAATTTTGTTTTGTTTTTTGTTTGGGGAGAAGCTAGAACAGAAGTGAAGGCTATCAGTTGCTGATCTTAGGCTCAGTGTAGAAACTTGTCCATCAGTTGCTTGTTTCATTCGCACTTCAAAGGTGGCTGGGAGCACTGGTGTTTAAAGTAGTCCTCCTCAGTGAGGGGATGGCTAGGAGTCACCCCCTCCTAGATCATTTGAATAACGAGAACAAGCCAAGGGTTTTCGCTTGTTTTTTGATTGTGATCTAGTACTTCTCACTTCTCTGGGAATTGAAACTGAGCTTTTTTTTTTTTTTTTTTTTAATTGCTATAGGCTTCCCTCTGCAACTGAGCAAGTTGTTCAGCCTAACCTTGCTTGACTTTTGTCCGATGTTTAGAGGTTGGGGTTTACTGAGATTACAAAATCCTTTTAAGAAGGATGCTGTGCTATTTAGCAGGTAGCACGTAGCACTCACTGGGTTTTGAAATCTTACTGTTTTCTAACTCCACTGCTGTGTTTCTGCATGAACATCAGTGAGTTTATTTTCCCTTTTTAATTTGGAAGGGAAATGGCACTGTCGCTTCATCTTATAAAATGTTTAAAATTTTACTGATTGGGGGGGGGGAAAGCAATGTAATACATGAATTATGAGCAGACATGTATGGATAACTTTTTTTTTTAAAGCAGGAATGGGGAAATTCTGCAGTGAAATTACCTGAGCCTGAACAAAACATCAGATTCCTTCATTCTGTTTAAAAATGTGTGTTTTCTTGGTCAGAAGTGTTTTATGACATATTTTTGTCATCAATACTGCTATTAAATTGTTTTAATAGCCACATGGCTATGAAAACTCCTCAACCAACTTGCTGTCTGTGACAACCTTATTTTGGTGGTGGTTTTTACTTCTATTTTTAAAAAAAGCTTTTCAAAATAGTAATTTCAGACTCTTGGCCAAGTGTAAATACTATTTGTCCTTAAAAGTAAAAGCATTACAGTGCAGAATATCTAGTGTGTTTCTTGCTGTTGATTTAAAAAAAACCCCAAACCAAACAAAAAACAAACAAACAAAAAAACCCCTGATAACCATATGGCAATGATGACAGATTCTTATTTGCTCTTAAGCTGTATGAGGTTGCTAGGGGTTGTCAGATGACACTTGCTCACATGAGAGCCATTAACAGGGTGTTGTAGCCAGTGTTAGAACAACCTTGCAACTAAGGGCGAGTCACTGCAAAAGCAACTATGCTTTTTTTTGTTTAAGAGGCCATATGGTTCAGTCTTGTGACTACATAATTGCTAGCTACCTAATCACATACCAGGAAACAAACATAGTTAAAGTCAATATTAGCTGTTGTATCTGCTACAGCTTTGTGCCAGGCTTGGTAGGAAAAACTCTGAACGGCAGCAAGAGCAAGTCTACAGTGGCTTCTGAAACTTGAAAGTCATGTCTACTCCTCTGTCTGGAATAATTGCAGCAGTACATTAGCTACAGCTGTCTTTTTGCATTAATGGCTTATAGAATATATGAAGATCTCTCTGCCTTTTTTCCTCCTAACAGGAAATTTGGCAGACTGTGTGTCTGTATAGGGAAGAAAGCCTATGATAAATTACCATTGTTAATGGTTGATCTATAGTAAAGAATTCCGCTTGAAGCCGTAGCTCTTCAGTGGGTATTTAATTTCTTTGAGGGAACTTTACAAGAAGATTTGTAGCAAAAGAAAATGTGTGGGGGTACACCAAAAGCTACAAATGGAACAGGGGGACAGATACAAAGAGTAAGAAACAACAGCGAAGTACCACTTGGAAATAATCTCTCTTGTACCAAATTGGATGAAAGGATTAAAAAATCTTGGAGAGACCAAAGTGTCAGCTATGTGAGCAAAGTGACAGGACTTCTGCAAAACAGGTATGCATATAACTTTTTTGATATATATTAGACAGGGAATGGAGGTTTTTAGTTGATATTAGATACATAATCATGTGCCTGAAAGGTTATTTTGTAAATAACTTCAAGAGTTTTATTAGAGGCTTATTCTTGCTGCTGATGGTGACTGACACTCCAGAAAGTCTTCCCTGTTGTTTAAAACTGAATCTACATTCTTGACTCTGTGTAAGATTTATGTATATGCAAACTGAGGCATGAAAGATAATTGCCTTCCTTTTCAGTTGAAGATAAATAATCTTACCTTCTTTCTAGTTTTCAAATTAATTTCTCCTCTTTTCTTTTTTTGCCACCTCCTGTGTTGGTGGGTCAAGTAGTAAGTGTGCAGAGCAGACAGGAGAGAATGCTGTAAAGTGGGGGAAGAAGGGAGAGGGGAACCTTCTGCTTTACTTGTAAATGACCTCTAGATCAAGCATTACATCAAAGTATTCTGGAATATGAATAGTGTTTCTTTGACTACTTTGTGGTGTCTTTTTCAGATGTGTGCCAACATGTCTCCAATGCCTGAGTGTTTTCTGCTATATAACTGTTGAAAATACAGTTCATGGCAGCTTCTTCCATATTCTACTTTGAGGATTTCTGATCTAAGAAGTAGGAAAATATAGAGTTATAGATAGGTATATAGGTATGTTACAGCCTTTTTATTTCTCTAGCCTATAGATGTGACACTGAAGTAGTGAGTGATTAGTCACTTTTAAAAACGTTTTCAGGTCAGTTGAAGTAGTTTTTGAACATAAATTAATAGGTCACTCTTCAGTTATTGCATGCATGCTGATTATTTTAAAGGTGAACCAAAAGCTTTCTTTGTAGAGATTAGGCTCTGGAGTTCTATATTAACTGAAAATACTGATCCAGGGCAGAAAGGGGCAAACTTTTTGTGACTTCTTTTCCAGAAACAAAGGAGTCTGCTTTCCCTTAAGAGACATCTCCTTGCCTTGATGTATCTGTAATGGAAGAAATGTTGAACAAATCAGAATAAGAGAAAATAAAGGAAATTTAAGCTTAATGTGGAATCTGAGGAGAAAACTTGCCAGGATAGCTATAAGCTGTTCCAAACTTGTGGCTTTCTTTTTAAAAAAACCCACAAAACCAACCAACCAAAAATATTATCCATAGTGTTTTAGTATCTTTAGTAGACCTGATTTTCCTGTTGTATGAACATGGACATCTTGAGTTTATTTTTTTATTTTGACTTGAAGATCATGTTTATTAGTTCTAGCATCTTCCACATGCAGGAAAGATCCCCTCTGAAAGTGAGGCTAGATAAGTTGAGCTGTTCAAACAGATTGCTGATGCTGAAGGAAGTAATCGCATTGCTTCCTTTTCTTTTGCTTTCTGGCATAATGCTCTTGTCTTTTTTTTTTCCCCTTGTGTTGCCCTTGGCCTTTCCAATCCTTCTGGAACTGGCTCCCCTTAGGGAGGCAGTTCAGCTCTCAAGTCAGTTTTCTGCCTGCTTAGGGCGCAGGAGAACTCAATTAACATTCTAACAAGCCTCAATACTTATTTTGACTATACTGGGAATGTTTTATTTGTGCTCTTTCCTGAAGGTATATAGCTCCATGGATGAAATGAGTTACTATAACTCATGCTGCCACCAAGAGGTGGAGGTTTCATTGCCTTTTACTACTTCTTTCCTTTTTCCAGCTATGTTTCTGATCCACTTTTGTGTGCTGGGACAGACTTCTGCTGCAGAGAATTTGGTTCATTTATGGAAGGGTCCAGCAATTACCAGAGCAGACATGAGTAATAGGAAGGCTCATGTAGTTAGAACAGGGGGAGAAAGGAAATGTGGGGCTTTTATTTTTGTGGTCAAATAAGAAAACACTATGTTCAGTCAAAATAGCCACATTTAACCTGAAATATGAACATCTGCACAAGCTCGTATTGATCAGTTCAGCTAATTTTTAAGAATATGCAGGACCTGGCGTAAGGCATTGTTTATAAGCCAAAGTGAAACATCTCAGCTATCAGTCTCTTCACTTCCTTATCTTTCTAGGATGTAACGTTATCAGAAGCCTGTTTTGTCGTTTTGTAGTACATTGATACTCAGGTGGCTGAAGAAAACGCCTGCTATAATTTTATTTGTAACATTTGTTTTATGTCACTTAGCAATATGTATTCCTTCAGCACAGATCTTTTTTCATTCTGTTTATTAAGTAGTTCTTAAAAAGGAATTGAAACATCTAAGATCTTTCTTGTGTAAGGAGAATGAGAAGACTTTTACAGAAACAGGGCTAAGGCAAATGATGTTTCAGTTAGTATTTAGCAAAACTTATTTTTGAAGGCTTTTTTTAAGCTGACTGAAAGAAACAGCCATTGTTATCCAAAAGTAGTGATTGTAGCACATTTATTCTTGCTAAACATGTGAGAAATATGAAGCTTATGATGGGGACTGTATAGTTATCACAAGTAACAGCTTCAGCAGTAGGTACATAAGCAAAACTACTTGTATTATGTAACTCTCACATAGCTTCATTCAGTGCTTACGTATGGTTGGGTGAGCTGTTCTAGACAGAAACAGAAAAAGGAAACAATCAAGTGTGCTAGTTGAGATTTTACCAAATGAGTATAAGGAAAACAACTGAGTCTTGAGACATGAAGTAGGAGAGTGTTGGGAGTGGTGGTGAAAAGCTATTTTGATGTGAATAAACATCAATATTTGTTATAATTGGGCATGGAGTAGACTGTTAGAATCTCATAATGTGGTGCAGCTGGAAAATAAGGGATTTTTTGTGTCTTGAGGGTTTGCTTTCTAGTCCAAAAGTAGAAGAATTAATAATAGAAATTGAATCTGATAATGTGCAAATTCTAGTGCAAGCTTTTCATGTAACACTTTCAGAATCTTCTCTTTCCTGATCCTCTACCTATCTCCCACAAATGCATCATGAGGGTTTTTTGTTGCCTTAAAGTTACCATTAGCTCATATTGTGGCTTTGGAGAGGGAGGGGAAAGTCTGTTATTTTCTTCACTATTTATTTCTGGAGGATAGAAATATGCATCCCTTGGTCAAACTCCGTGGTTGAAATTGATTAGTGAATTAACAAATAATTAATTGGTCAAGGTGAACCTGTATGCATAAAGGTTGCCTGTGAGCATAGGAGCCTTTTTTCCTTAAGAAAAAAACAGGCTAAAATATTTCTGTTGCCTATTTCAGACATTTTAGTCTTTCTTTTTAGAGACAACTCATGGAAGAGTGAAAGTTTTTTTTTCTTCTTACTCAAACCCTTAAGCTATTACTTTCTAACATCTAAAGGAATGTTAAGCTATACAGAGTGTGGTGGGCTGTTTTCAGGAATTGATACTTTGTGCAAAGCAATCTTATCTCTTTTCCAAAAACTGTATGTGAAGAGGAAACAAAAAGCTCATGCCTTTCAGCATTGCTAAATAAGCAAGAAGCTGCTACAGAGATAAGTAATGGGTTTGGGATTTTAGTTTTTATGCACGTGAAAATGGAGCTGACACAATGGGTATGTGTACTGTCTGTACTCTTCAACACTGCTTTTGGGAGATGACCGAATACTCCCACTGTCCCTGTTTTGGGGACTGTATGTTATGTAAGCTGGTTTAAACAATAAAGAGTGGAAGTAATGTAAGCAGTCTGCTCATCAGCTTTTGTGATAGGGAAAAACAACCTGGTCATCTGACTAGTCTTGGGCCTGGTCTAGATTCCACGTGGAAGTAATGAGACTGGGTTTATATGCATGTATAACTTGCCTATAGATATGCTGGATTTCATCAAATGAGGCTTTAGTAGGATGGATCTCTTCTGTAATAGAGCTGCTGCAGAAACTGTATCTGTGTTCTGGGTAATTCAAAGTCTGAAAGCAAAAGACTTCATTAAAACATAAGTTTGATGTTTGATTAGTAATGTAAAAAGTGTTATCTGAAGTTACTTTCCTAGATTTGGTCTTTTAGTCACATAAAGCTCTGTACTATAGATTTTTTGTAACTTATCTTGTTTCTGTCTGGTACTAGAATCTGAGCTTCTGAAAGATTGCAGCAGTGTCTAATTCTAGTGTGCTGTATGGAAAAGGCACCTCAGCAGGCTGTTAAACTGGCTTCTACTTCAGCAGTTGTTATAAAACCCAGTTCATGTCTAGTACAGAAGTTGGCACCCTACAAACAATGTGAAGTTTGCTTTAGTGCAGAATGTGGGAGTTCACCTGTTCATGAAGAAACCTAAATTCATGCAACACAAGCATTCAGTATGGCTTGAGCATTGGTGGGCAGGTGGAGGGATGGATTGACTCAATCCATACCTGAAATGAATTGTTCTCAGCTTAGAGTTGCAGTCCTGTGGTCTCAACTATGCATCCTGCTGTGCTGGTCCTGGAGACAAGTAAGGATTTACTCTTGTATAGATTTTAAATTAAGACCATAGAGATGTACCTTTTTGTTCGTAAAAGGAGGAAAGATCTGTGGTCTTGCTAAGAAAGCAGCAGAGTTGCCTCAGGTATTGTCTGTTGTAGAAAGTGTGTAAGTAAATAGGTAGTTGTATAACTGAAGAGCTTTGAGTACCTGGTACTGGAGAGCATCAGATTCATGCAGCAGACTAGAATGAACTCTATTGATGGCTCTGACTTCTCTGTATTCTGTATAACTGTATTTTGTAATAGCACTGAACAGGCAGTGGGCTGAGAAACTAGTAACAGACTTTTAAAACAGATGGTGTAGTTGCAGCTCTCTGTATATGTGAGGTGTGTAGGATCTTTGTTGGGCAACTATCAACAATGGTATCAGGTCTGATCTCATGCAGGTTAACTTAATGTTGTGACTCCTTTTGAAAGGGAGGACTTGAAAAGAAATCTGCCTGGCACTCCTAGTATTTTGGAGGCAACGTGTTAAAAACACATCAACAAGTTTCCTAACTATTAATGGCAAAACAGAATGTAGCATCGTTCAATGATCTGGCTTTGATGTGTACCGGACCCTTTGTATATTATGTACACAGAGTATACTTGTATCAGAGTGCCTATCTCCACCATAAGGTATCTGGCTTATTCTGTCCCAAGCTATTTAAAAATAGAATAAAACCTTCCTGAATTAGATTTTCCAGCTCTGAAAAAGGGGCCTTTTTAGGCTTATTTTTCTTTCTAGACACATAGAAAAGGGAGTTGATCTCTGAAATGCAAGATGAAGCACAAAGTAAGCTGGATTTACTGATGATTTTAAATTTGCAAGTGTCTGTGTGCTCCTCAGGCAGTTGCCCATGGTTACCTCACTGATTGTAGCAGGAGTTGATGGTGTTTACCTCGCTATTGATTTACGTCTGTTAACAGAGCATGGAATAAAAGAAATATCTTGAGAACTTCTTGTCTTTCAGCAGAATAGAGTTTTTGTGCTCTTCCCTTAATTCTCTACTTTCATTCTCTGTAGGGCATAGTTTGGGAAAATTCCTAAATGAGACATCCTTTTGGGTGGGAGATCAGTGTGGCCTTGACTGAAGCCCGTTATGCAATTTGTTAAACCAAGAACTATTAGTAACAGTTGTACTCTCACCCCTTAGATGCAGTCTGTCCAGGTCAGGGATGAGGCAATATGACTGAGCACCAGTACTGTGTGGCACTGCTTTATGCAGTAGTCGTTTTTTCCCATTAATTCCAGCTTGTCAGCTACATAACATGAAAAGTATATTCTGTAGTTGAACCTGAGGCCAAGCAAACCTCCATGCTCTGACGTGCAGACAAACTCCCTTTGGAATTGGGAAATAAAGTTTCTTGCCATCGCAGTCGTGATCAGTTGTGCTCCTCAGCCTCCTGTGTAAGCGCAAGGAGGCAAGTCGTGTGCTGTGGTGTATCTCTGAGAAACAGGCCTGATTCTGGTTTGGGAGAGTTTTTTGCTTCAGGTTGAATGTCAGTGGTATCTTGGTTTCATCTACTAAATGAGTTTTCATCATAGTCAGAGATCAAGTCTTGATAATCTATAATTGCTCTATAAACCCTGAAACATCTCAGAAAAGAAACAGGAAAAATAATGGAATAACATAAACTTTGTCTTTCGGTTTCAAGAATTAAACTTTGGAAAAATCATCATTTATGTTGACAGGAATAGGTCAAAAGGAATTGAATTTGCTTTGTTTAGAAGAGAGAAGAATGAGGGAGGGTGTAAACTTTGAGCTTGTGAAAGGCTGTAGTAAAGAGTTTGGTAATCCATTGCTCTTTATTGACACAGAGAATTGCACAAAATAGTACACCTACCTAAGGGTGATCCAGACTATGTACAGAGAAGGGAGTAAATTTAAGAATAGTTAAGCCCTGAAGGAATTGCTGAGACAAAGTTTTGTGTTCCTTTTCTGGAAAATTTTGAAGACAGAGTGGATGAAAAATATTCTGGCTGTGCCTGCCTGTGTATGAGTGATGCTGGGCTTAGATACTCATTTGAGTTCCTCTTTGGTCAGAGGTCTGTGATTACAGCCTGATTCCTGTAAATCCCAAGTAAAAGACATATTTGCTGAATACCTGTTTCTTCACTTAAATAAACCTGCAAAGTAAGCACACTATTTTAACATCTTGTGTTTATAATCTGCAGCTGGTCCTCTTCAGAGTTTGACTTGAATGAAATCCGCCTGATAGTTTACCAAGACTGTGAGAGGAGAGGCAGACAGGTTTTATTTGATTCCAAAGCAGTCCGCAAAATTGATGAAGCTGTGGTTCAGGTATGAAATGCTAATTTTGCTTTTGTCCTACTGCTCTCTTGTTTCTCTTCCAAAAGTAGGAATTTTAATATGACAGGGTCAACTTCTTAATCTTTCACTTGATCTCGATTCTGTGATAGCTGCAACAAGAGAATCTTAGATTCCAAAAAAACCTATGAACACATCTGGTATTTGGTATTTATAACATAGGTACTGAAACTTAAATCTGATTTGCTTTTAAGTAAAGCAGCCTATACCTCTTTAAGATGAGTATTTCCTTAGCCTTTTTAATGCTGTCTGGGATTGATTTTTGTTGTTAGCCCTGGTTGTGCAGTCCCATTGTTCCAGTGATGTCTAGCATGTCTCTAAATGTGCTTGTCTTCCTTTGGTGTTTGGATTAGTTAAGTTGTTGGCTTTATGTGAATTAAAACAATTTCACTTTGGCTAACTATGCTGTAATGTTTGACTGACACATGGCAATATACGGCCACATAAGTTTTGGTGACACACGTTGAAGCAAGACTAGATGCTGTCAAGATGCAAATTCTTTGTGCTGCTCTCCAGACACACAAACTGTGGAGTAACACTTCCAGCAAACTTAGGTTATTTGAAGACAAGTAAAACAATAGTATTTTTTTGGTTTGTGGTAGTTTTAGGTTTTTTCTTAGCTCTGTGTTTTTCTTCTGTGTAGAATTATTTCAATTCTTTTTTTTTTTTGAAGCCTTTGTTACAACCAGCAGCTTCACCTGTCAGACTAGCATGGATTATTGGAGAATTACTAGTTATATATGAGTAGTTGTGACTTGTAGAAATTACTTATGAAGATGCTTTAAAAAAACAGCAATCTCTATTTCAGTCCCGTGGCAAATATGCCATTGTGCCAAATCAGTAAGACTTGAGCATCATCAGCTGACAGATCATCTGCTTAAGAGGTTAAATGGGCCAGATTGGTCTGTTAATCTTGTTCTTCCTCTCCTCCTCTCACTGCCAAATCAAGGTTGTTAATTTGTATCTTAAAAGTTGGTTTAAAATGTACAGTATGTGAGGAAGAAATATATTTCTGGCTTCATTTAAATACTCAAATTATTCCACTTACTTGAATACTTAAAAGTTAACTACAAAATGTCTGACAAAACAGATTATAACCTCCCTCATAACACATGATGCAGTCTACAATCTGTTTTCTAGCCAGACACTAATCTAGGTACCCTTTTAAAACAGACAAAGCATATTGAATGCCATGCGAACACACAGATGTTAGTGATATTGATGCTTGGTCATTTGTTTAGTATGTTATCACACAGCAAGCCTAAAACTTGATTCATTTAAAATTAAGACTAAATTAATATCCAGCTCAGTCCTGTTTAAACTGAAGTCAAGAAAGTGTGTATGTGTGTTTATCCATTTTCCTGAAATACAGTAAAGCTTATGCACATTGAATATTCAAATACATTGCTTGTCTTTAAAATATCTAATAAATTTACTTGGGGGAACTAGCAGATCTGTATTCCATTTAACTATATGTTTGCTTAATACGCTGCATTTCTTTTCAGTGCTCTTAATCTAATTTCCAATTCTTTCTGTAGATGGTGTATATCAGACTGCTTTTATTATGCATTTTTTGTCAATAGCTCATTAAACACGTGACTACTGACATTAATGACAGTCACAATGGGATTAAATAGCAATAGTATATAAATACTACACCAAGAAATACTGCATAGGAGGAGTGCAAATATAGGATATAAAAGTCCAGTATTTTAATTTTTTAATGAGCTTTAGTAGGCTTATTTTTAAAATAGATAGGGGAGCTGTACTATCACTGTAGTTTAAACTCAATATTTAAAAAAAATGACAGATCATCTACTCTTCATGGCTTTCTCTTCCTCTTTTTCTTCTGCATCTTTCCTTTTGCCCATTTCATCATCTTGTCAAAGTGATTTGTGTATTTTAAAATTTACTACAGTTACTGCACTTTAGTACAGTTCATCTTAAAAATCAGTCTTGTGGAATATTGGATTCTACTTTTATTTCCATTTAACTTTCTGTTGTTGTCCCTTTCTTGTCATGCTGAGCCCAACATATGTAAGTTTGGTTATGGATACTTTTTACTAGCATCTAGGTTATTAATATTTTTTTTTGCTTGCTCACTTAGTTTTTTTTATAAACTATCTACATGTACCTTGCTGACATTAAAAAGAAATTTAGTTGATCTCTGCCACTGCATGTTCCCAGTGAGATAAACCATGCTGATACAAAATGAGACTTATAAAAATAAGCTTCATTCTGATGTGCACCAAATGAATGAATCTTTACATTAATACATTGTAAGGGATTTTGAATTTCTTAAATATATAAGAAGTTTAAGAGTGTGAGATAAGCTTTCTAAGATTTTCTAAGGAGTTTTCCTTGCTGCAAGGTTGCAGTTTTGCTCCCTTTATATAAATAATTTCAAGTGCATGTGAGAAGTGTTTTTGCAGTGATGTGGCCTTTTTAACTGACATCTCATGGACGTTCAAATTTGGGAACAAAAAAAAAAAAAAGCAGCTGTTAAAGAAAATAAGACACTCGCTGGGTTTTGTTCAAGAAAACTGTAGTAAGGATATCCAAATGAAGCTTGTCTTAAGAAACATGTACGAATAGCATTAATGTAATTGATATCTTTTTGACACTTCTCTTACACCTTTTTGATATGTTCTAAAATGTTGTTAAAACAGTAATTTGAGAGCAAACTTTGAATTAAACAATTGAACAGTCATGTGGATTTAAGCATTCATTTGCCCTTTTTTTACACACCTCCTTTACAGGTTTAACAAATAGATTTTTACAACCTGGTAATTCTACCAAATGATGCATTATTCACCCCTTGTTTTTGTTGGCTGTTCTTGTGTTTAAGAAATCTGTTAATCCCTGGGGAGTAAGTTATATGCAATTTGAGTGATTGTGCAGATGATTACAGAAATTGGTTTGTAAGCGACCCATAAGCTGATATTTCGTTTACATAAACTTTGGCGAATGTTACACAGAGCATCTCATAACAATTGGAATGATCTTCCAGTGGAACTTTTGATTAATTACTGTGTGATACTATGAAAACTCATCTGACAATATAAATGTGGGAATAATTCTGCACTTTCTCTCATGCTGGCCTTTTAAAAACCCTTTTAAAACTGATACATAGTTTTTGAACCAAATAAGAGCATCTTACTTCTGTTGCTTACCTGTAGTTTAAGAAAAGTCTTGCCATGGTATGTTTACAGGTCAGAGTTCTCATGTTTGCTTTCATTGTTTTCATCATATTGCTCTGTTTTGACACAGAAAATGGCAGAGGATGCTTCTGTAAAGGCTTCTGCCAAGAACTGCCAAGGAAGCAATGGGAACAACAACATTTCCTCCCATAGTCCCTCAATAAGCTGCATGCAAAATATCAAAGAACAGATACCGAAGTACCAGGTAATGTTAATTACTTTTCATGCTTGTATTTATCCATTTTACTGAAGAAGTTTGTGTAGAAAGCCTTAACTTACATGCATTGAATGACTGGTTATACTCATAGTATATTACAAGTTAATCAATCTTGAGATATCTACCCTGTCTTTAAAGTGTTGTAGACTAAGAACATGTGGGTACATCTTAACCTGTTGGTCTATCTTGGTCTTACCTTTTGTAACTCTTTCAAAGACATTTAATAGCATTATTATTTGTGAAAGTCATAAAAAGCACTATACTGTTCTCTGTTCTTGTTTTGAAAGATGTCTACTTACGCTTCAAGTCAGCTCTTCTGAAGAAGCTGTTGAACATGGTATATTGAGAGTCCCTTTTGCTGTACTATAACATGAAATTTTTAAGAAAACTGTTTTTTAGGTACTCTGGCTGTTTCTCAGTAAAGTCATCTAGAAAAACATAACTTGAAGCATGTATAGATTAAGGTAGAAAAAATTATATTTTAACTAGAAGGTGAGGGATTTCCTTCAGAATTAACAAACTTCTCTTAATATTTTCTGTTGATGATCAGTCTTTGAAACAAAATAAGAAATCAGTCTGATTATATTTAGAAACACAGTCTTCACAATTTTTCCAGTCAAAAATTTTTCCAAGAAGCTTTCTATATATATAAATACGGAGAAGGATTATTTACTCCTTTGATTGAGGAAGAGTGTGATTGGGGATCCAGACCACAGAATCTAAGTCCTGTGACCAGGTTTTATCAAACACTCTGTTGTATGGGAATGTTGCTGGACACAGCTATTTATTTGAAAAGGCAGTAGATCTTTTTTCTTCTTTCATGCCATTGGAGGTTACCTTGGAACAAGTGTAAAATGCCTGTCTAGTGAGCAAAAGAGAGTACATCTTCCAGTTGTACTTGATTGTACTTGCACTCACTATGTGGGAACCACACAGGATCTTTGTTTGTATGGAAAAGTAGAATTTATTTGTATTCTGCATTCAAACTGTAGCACTATGACACTATATTAAATTGAAATAGTATGTCACGTTATTCCTGACTTTGCTCTTCCCATCTTGTCTGTGTAGTACACCAGACCAGCCTCTGATGTCAACATGCTGGGAGAAATGATGTTTGGCTCAGTGGCAATGAGTTACAAAGGCTCCACCTTGAAAATTCACTACATACGGTGAGTGTCCTTTTCTGTGATGCGCACTCTTGTCAGGCACTTGGAATTGATGACTCACTGAAATGACTGTTTATCCTTTCAGCTCTCCCCCACAGCTGATGATAAGTAAAGTCTTCTCAGCCAGGGTAGGAAGCTTCAGTGGAAGCAACAATAAGTAAGAACATATTTTTTTTTTCTTCCCCATCCAATGCAGTTGTTTTTCCTTCTTTCTCATTCTGTAGTCCTTCTGTCACTACTTCTAAATTTGACTTAGCTGAAGTAGAAAAGTCTAGTAGAAAATCAGAAATGGTAGACATGGAGAAGGATTTTCTTGATAGATCCCAGCCAGGCCACCCAAGTTTAAAAAATAAAATCTCTGAGTTTCTGCTTCTTAATTTGTCCAGGGCATGCAATAAACTTCAGAGGTTAGGTGCTTTGGACAATCAAAGCCTCTATCTTCCTGCTGCCAGAAAGGTGAAGAAGGGATATATGTTGAGAAAGCTTTGTGTCCTTGTACCTCACTTCTGTTTCCTTCATTAACAACAGAGGATCCGTGGCTTCTCATCTGTTCCCTTTTTCCTTGTCCTCGAAATGGGCAAATATGAATAAACTGAATCCCGAATGTGACATGCATATCTTTTAATAATTCAAAGAGGGAGCCTATGAAGAAAATAAATGCCTATTTCCTTACAGGTTCAGAAAACCTACTGGTCCTTGAGTTTGATTGTAAAGTTAATCTTCAGCCTTCTATTTTTCCATAAAATGAGCCTAATTCTCAAGATAATATTAATGCCTATTGATCACATTCTTAAGGAACACTGGCTTTTTCCCCTTTTTTAGCTTACAAGATAGCTTTGAATACATCAATCAAGATCCTAGCCTGGGAAAGCTGAGCTCAAATCAGAATGGTTTGGGAACCTGTCGCAGTGGAAGTAATTTAGGTAAATATATCCAGGTTCTATGTCTTTCTGACAACATGAGGCCATCTGTTTGTTCAGTTTAGTTTCTTTCCAGTGTGTCACCTTTTTTCTTCTTTTTGGTTTGGGGTTTTTTTTTTGCATTGCATTTTCTCTACACTGCTTTTGTTTCCTAGGTGTGTTACAACTATGTAGCAGCAAACTGCTGCAGGGTGTGTCTGAAGGAGGTCCCCTCCGGCTCATCCGCAGTGCTTCTTTCTTTGCAGGTTTGTGTGGAATGCCAGCCACAGTGTGACCCATCCATATGCACACACAAATCCAGCTCCTTCTGAATCCTTGCAGGACATACATAATTACTCTCTAGAAACAGAAAGGGCTAAAATAGTGGCAACAAGTGTATCTGGCTTATACTTTAAAATCTTGCTTCAAAAAAAAAAAATCTAAATTACTTTTTGTTCATATTTCTTTTCTAATTCCTGTGATTAATTCTAAAGGTATTTTTATGTAGTATTTTTAAAAATAAATGAGCCTTTAAGTTTCTTAGAGAATTTATGTTTCCTGGCTTATACCTGATTTCTTGCTAGTATGCAGGTGTCTTGCTGGTGTACAGCTTTTTCTTCTCTGACCTCTTGCTACTTTTGTTTTTTAATTTGATAGCAGACATTCAGAATTATTTGAGCTAAGTCTGGGAAGCTTTAAGGTTTTTTTCTTTAACAATATCAATTTCTTTAATTTTCAAAACTTTATGTAAAGTCTGCTTTTACAGGCATACTGATGACCCATGCAGGTGGGTAGATCTTAGGCCTAATTAGTTCTGTTAATTGCAAAAATATGACCTGGAATACCAATGCAGTTTCTTCACAGCCTTTGCAAATCTTGCATGCTCTACAATTTGGGTGACTCTGCACTACTAACATTATGTAATACAACATAGTCTGAATGTTTCTTACTGTGAGTCCCTGTGGATAGTAAATCTCTGCTTGGGGAGGAAATCGGAGCTTAATAAACCTTGTATTTGACTACTTCATTATGTTAACCTGTGTAGAGTTACAATCTTGCACTTACAAAAAAATATTAAGAGTAACAGATGGGGGTACCAACAGCCCTTATATTCAAAGCATATCTGGTAATGTCAACTGTGTTCACATTCTTAAACTTCTTCTAAAGCTTTTAGATTGGGGCAAATAACACACTTTTTCTAGTAACTTGATAGTGTGGGAATACCTTTTGTTGCCCCATCTGCTCACACCATACAGCTTATTTGGAGTAACAGTACAGGATGTAACTTTGCTGTTTTATGAACTTTAAACTTAAGCTTTTTTTAAAATCCTGACAAATAGTATGATGACTTATGTAATATTTTCTATTTATCTGCTCTGTTTGTTTTAGCACACAGCACGCCTGTTGACATGCCTAGCAGAGGACAAAATGAGGACAGAGACAGCGGCATTGCTCGGTCAGGTATCTGCTGTCTGTCTTGTTTGGCTGCTTTCGTAATTATGTTACAATTTTTTGGTGCAATGATTTACCCAAAATATAGGTACCTTATGACCAGTAAATCAGAAATTTTTTTTATCTAAGTGGTTTTCCTTCTGATTTTCCCCAAGCCTTAATGCAAGAATATTTTTAATGATATTCTTTTTTTACAGCAATCATTTTCTGGGTTCTTAACCAAGATTTAAGGTTAAGAATGCTGGAGCCTTTATTAAAGCACGGGAGGAGAAGATGCGTTTTGCACTGAATAGGAAAAGGAGACCAAGAGATCTGACTATTGTTATGGGGAGGGCACTACCTCTTAGGACAGAAAGCTTTTATTGAGAATAAGATGACTTTTTAGTATGTTCTAGTAGGGAAGATCTCTGACTGGAAAGAATGGCCTTGGGTGGGAAGATTTATTTAAAATAATTGTGTCTCCTGTTGCAAGTGACTTATGTCAGAAAAATCAGCAAGCTGGAGCAATATTTGTGGGAATTTGTTCCCAGTTAGAGTACAGAGAAAAATATTTAACTAACACTTTGTCACTCAGTGTATGTGGGGTTTTTTACTTTCTTGATAGCATCTCTGAGCAGTCTTCTGGTCACTCCCTTTCCATCTCCAAGCTCTTCATCGTCATCTTCTAGCAGCTACCAACGTCGCTGGCTCCGAAGTCAGACAACCAGTTTAGAGAATGGAATTATTCCGAGGTGGTGAGTGAAACACCTTTCTTACTACAGCTGTTTGCAGTAATTTAATGGTAAATAGAGCTGAAGCCTGTCTTCTTTAAAAGGACAAATCCTGTTATTAAATGCTTTCAATTCAGTCTAACTTCTGTGCATATTATGTAAGATTGCGAATATGAAGAAAAATCAAGTTTTGGCTGATAAGAACTTCAAGGCCTGATTTGAAATATACTTACTTTTATTGAACATATAGACTCTGTCTGAAGCCACATTCCGAAAAGCAAATTAAACTGTTTTTGAAAGACCATCCTGTTAAGATGAAAGGGAGTGTAACAGCACTGCTGACATAATTGCATTATACTATGGTGAAATCTGACTAGGGAGCAGTTACTGAAATTTTGGAGTAATAGTCCATGAATACTCTCTTGGCTGGTACAGGATGTTCCTGTTGTGACTTGTGCCAAAACAGGAAGGAAAAAAAAAGAGCTGTGATCAAAAAAACTTTGGCTTCTGTTTTGGAATTTTATTAGCTTTTGTAACTCAGTGGCATAACAAAGCATGGAATGCAGCAGACCTTTCATAGCCAGTAAGTTAATTCTTCCCCTGTCAGTTGCAAAATAGCAAATGGTTCTTGATTATCTGCTCGTATGTACTCATCCACCTGCATCAAGAGACAGCATGGAATCAGTGGAGAGCTACAAGAAATTTCTACTGTTTGGCCTCTCTCCCTCTTCACTGTTTCCAGTTAAGAGAAGCTTAAAAGCTGCCAGTTGAAATACGTGGTTAGTAAAAACAAAACCTTTTTGAAAAGACTTCTTTCCCTAGTGTCAGCACTTGAAGCTTTTCCCTGGATATTCGTACCAAATAATTTTTAACATGAAGAATTGTGCAGCAGTGTTAATGTATCAGTTATGCTTTCTAAATCATGCTTGCAGTTGAGAAGAAGTTATTAAACGCTTTGGTTTTAGTAATTCAAATTCAAGTACTAGTCTAGTTTCCTAAAGAAGTAAGGTTGAGAGTAGTGCATACAGAACATTTAGAGTAAATAAGATAATTTCAGTCCAGTTTAGGAAGTAGCCAAAGTTTCACAAATAGACATTTCCTCAAAGTGTTAAGGATGTAACAAATTGTTTAGAGGAGAGTAGCCTTTTTGGGCTGCTTGTTCACTGTAGGGAGTAGGTTGTCTGTCTTCCCCATTGGAGGGTCTGTGCTGGGGAAAGATATTGGAAACAGGACATTATTATTTCCACTATCTAAAACTACTCTTGAATTTTGAGGCTCTTTTGAAGCCAGAAAGCTTCTTCAGATACTTGCTTTCTGATTACTTGCTAGAGAAATAGTAGTCTTTGAGTTGAATGCTTCAGTGACAGCAGAATTTGCACTTCAGATTGTACAGCCAAGATTCTACAGTTTATGTGGCTGATGTTTAAGGCGAATAGCTCAAAGAAAATGAGATGTCTAGCTGGAACTCCATGTAGTCAATTGGCAGGCAAGCTAGATTTGCAGCTTTGTTGAGAAGACTTCTCTCACAGACTTAAATTCTTCAATTTTTGTTCCTGGGAAGCAGTGCAAAAGCTTGTGATGTTTCTTAGATGCTGACTGACCATCCTTTCCCAACTTCCTTGGGAATTTCTGTCTCTGCATGCAAGTTCCTGAAGTTCAAATGAGGTTATGTTTTTGTCTTGAACTCTGGTTTCCCACAAGCTGTCTTTTGCTGGGGTTTTATTGTGTGTGTTTTCCTGTATTCCTGGACTTATACCTCAATGATGAGAAACTTTTGTATATTTAACTTTGTCAAACCAATTAAGCTGTAAATCACTTATTTTTAGAATGAACTTAGAATGAATGCTTAACATTCAGGCTTCCCTCTTGTTAATTGCTTCATAGTGGTCTATAAATGCCACAGGCTCCATTTCAAGATAGTTCTGATACGAAAAACCTTCAAGCTTTTAATTACCACTCACTGACGTTACAGTCTTAACTTACAAAGAAACTCCAAAACCAAGCTATTTCCATATGAGCTGCTGCTCTGAATGTCTGCATTTGCATTCTAATGGCTTTCTTCTCTGTTCTTACCCTTCTTTCCCTATAATTTCTTAGTGGATTGAAAGCCATTATTCAATTAAAGTTCCTTCCAAAAGACATTTTGACCGTACCATTTTACTAAGTGATATAGATATATATACTTTTAAAAGGCTTTTTTTCAGTGAAGCTGATTGAGAAACATTAAGCAAGAAAAAAGTAGTTCTCTAAATCCATCAGCATTAATATCTAGTACTGCAATGCAAGTATTTATGGAGAAACAGAATAAGAGGATTGCCACCCTTTTGTATAATCACAGAAGAATTTATGCTAGCTTGAGTCTCATGGGTATCATCCAAATCAGTTGCCTGTGCAAAGGACTGGCTTGAAATTTAGATCAGGTTGATGTGGAACTTGAATTGAGTTGTGAAAACCTCCAAGGATGGAGATTCCATAGCCTCTCTGGACAGTGCCCTCTGCTGTATTGACTACATCTGCATCTGTCACCTGCAAACTCACTGAAGGTGTGTTTTGATCCACAGGCCAGGCTGGTAGTGAAAATATTGAGCAGTATTGATCCCAGTATCAACCCATGTGTAATATTGAGAAGTGGCATAACTGTTGAAAGAAATGTGGCAGAACTGTCAAGTGAACAAACAGAACTTGGGGAAACAATAATGGTTGTAAAGTAGCCACTGGTTTGGGTGTTGTTTTTTTTTTTTTTCATAAAGCAAAGCATTTTAAAGTATATCCAACATTGAGCTAGGCACACATGTATTTGTAGGCGTCAAGTTTGTGTTTTCGCAGTAATTACTAAGTGGTGACATTTTGTCTTCAGTTAAAATAGAAGGTTTTATTTTGCATGGGTAAGTGCCTTAAAACATTTATCTTAATATGCTGAAACAGTATAGGTAGCATGTTTCCCAACTTCCCTCATTGCAGCAGATTCAAGAGCATCATGGGCATACTGCTGAGCACCTAGGCAGGAGCTTGAGTGCTGAATGCAGTTCAAAGCTCTGAAATTACCTTTAACCTTTTTTGCTAATGATTTTTTGCATTGTTTCTCCATTCCTTTTTTCTTAATCTCAGAGATAAATCTAGAAGAAGGGATTTTGTAGTACCTCTGGTTCAGAGGAAAGTGTTCATGCCACTTTGAGTTGATGGCCTCTTTGGGGATTGCCCTCCTCCTATCTGAGCAAATATAGGCCTTATCCATCAAAATGTTGGGTATCCTCTGTTCAGAGACAGGTGCCAGCAAAGTTCTATGTAGTCAGTCAGAGGCCTAAAATGAATTAGTTTCTGCTATATGGAAAGAATAGAAGATGAATTGCCTCTCAATACATTGGTAACTGTCCTAACATCTGTCTTACAGGTCCACTGAAGAAATGTTTAGCATGGCTGATGAAAGCTGCAGCTCCAATCCTGCAATGGTTCGGAGGAAAAAAATTGCAATCAGCATAATCTTTTCTCTGCCTGAAAAAGAAGAAGCACAGAGAAACTTCCAGGATTTCTTTTTCTCTCACTTTCCTCTCTTTGAATCTCATATGAACAAGCTGAAATATGCGATAGAAAAGGTACAGAATACTAGTTTGGCTTAATGTGGAAAAATAAGTGTCAAACAGAGTGAAGTATTCTAGAATCTGATAGATGAAGAGTGGGAGAAAGTGCGTGGTTTCAAGCTTCCCTCCCTCCTTACACATGTAGTCTTGAGCCTGAGCCCAGTGTAGGAATTCAGCATTTGATGAAAAAGAGGTGCAGTTTCTTTTCTAGTCAGAATGAGAATGGAGAGTTTTATGCTATGGGTGGCTTTTTGTTTTTATAACTTCTCACCATATTTCACTATGAGGTTTTCTTGACTCCTTGGAGACTGTATTCTATCCTTTTATACAGTCACTAAAAGAGACACACAAAATGTTTGTTGCTGTCTTCCCTTCACTCTCTCAAAAAAGTGTTCTCCCTGTGTCCAGTCTTAGGTATTGGTCTCTCATGAGGTAGAGGGAGGTTGGCAACTATTGCTGTCCTGAGTGGCTATATAGCACTGGGGCTAGATCTTAATTATTTTGACATGTTAATGAAGCATGTGAATCCTTTAAGAAGCTGTTTTGTGTCTTTAACTCTTAATCAAGGCCATGATCTCATGTAGAAAAATAGCAGAATCCAGCCAAAGAGTGCAGGTTTATATCAGCCGTGTCATGGATGCCCTGGGAGAATTCAGGTGAGTTGATGGAATTCTGAATTACAAGGAGAGCTCTTCTCATGCCCCTCTAAAGATATTTGTCACTTCCAATTTCGAGCAACTGAATGTAGGGTCTTGTCATTTAGCCAGTCTTGAAGTTACTGTGAATGAATTTTCTGTGTTGGGTATGGGGTAAATGTGTTTAAAATTTTAGTGAAACCAGCTCAGCCATTTTCAGAATGAGTGAAAAGTAGTTGTGTTGCACTCACCTGTAGCTGGGACTGTAAGTTAAAGTTTTTAAGATCTCATCAAGAGTTGAACTCTGATGCCTGGGCAGACAAGTTAATTGATTGTTGTGTTCAGGCAGATGAGTTGTCTACTCCTAGCCACAGATGATGAACAGTGTAACTGACAAAAAAGTTGCTGTCAAAGGTGCTCTTCTTGGTACCTAAGAGAGGAAGAAATGGCCAGAGGCCAAGAAAGGCAGCCCAGGAAAGAGGTGTGAGGCTTTGGTGGGATGGAGCTTCTGTAATGTCTGGAATGTGGAATCAATTCACTGCAATTAATAGAAAGGGTTTTGTCCCCTCTCAAAATATCTGAATCATTTCTCTTAATACAGATACACAGGGGAAGGCAAGGAGGGGAAGACAAATATGTAACTTATATGAAGACACAAGTTACTCGTACACTGGATTTAAACACACTAGTGTTCTAGAACACTAGTAATTAGTGTGTCTGGAAAACTCTTCCAGTTTGTTTAGTTCCTAGATCTTACAAAAAATAAATAAAAATCAACAAACAGTAGAAGAGGAAAGGGGCTACTTGTACTTGCAAGATTGAAATGTACATATTAACACTTACTTTTGTGGAATTTTCTTTGAGCAGAGTTACCATCTGGAACCTATATTCTGTTCCAAGGATTGCAGAGCCTGTCTGGCTTAATATGATGTCCAGCACCCTAGAAAAGAATCAGCTATGCCAGCGTTTTCTTAAAGAATTTACGTTTCTGATAGAACAGATCAACAAAAATCAGTAAGCTTCCCCCACCCCCTTTTTCTTAAAAAAAGCTTGTGTACTTCCCAGTACATGTGGATGTGTTAAAACCCTTAATGGGATATTCTTTTGCTAGTGTTACTTTGCTCATATTCTTTTTTCCTAGGTTCTTTGCCGCTTTGTTAACTGCAGTGCTGACGTATCATCTGGCTTGGGTCCCAACAGTAATGCCGGTTGACCATCCTCCCATAAAGGCCTTCTCTGAGAAGCGCACATCGCAGTCCGTGAACATGCTGGCAAAATCCCATCCATATAACCCTCTGTGGGCACAGCTTGGTCAGTAGGAAATGGAAAGCTTCTGACTTCTCTTTAACTACCACCTTCCTGCATCCAATCCTTACCTAAGAACTACTTGTGATCTAGATCACATTTGCTGATTTGACTTGCTGTAATCTGGGAAGAACTGCTAACTGATATCTTGTGCCTGGTTAAACAGAGCATTTAGAGGCCTGCTTGCATAGCCCGAGTGCTCTGCTTTTTTCCTTGGTCCCTTGTTATCATCCTCACACTGCCTAGTGAAGTAACTTGGTATAGACGTGTTAAAGACAGTGCAAGTGCTGTGAATGATCTGAGCAGTTTGGGAAGAACAAGACTGGACTGAGGGGAGTTCTCTGGGCCTTGGGAGCCCTTTGTAGTTGAAACTGCCCTGGCTACCTCCTTTTATCTCTTTCTTGTAGAGCTAGGATGGACACCAAGGCAACGGGGTAGAAGTCTGGCAACTGGCAGTACCTCCATTCAGTCACAGTTTTTGTGAGTGGGCTTGGGCCAAGATTTTCTTTCTATGCCCAGCTCCTTGGGCTGTTCCCTGACAAATATTTTATAGCTTGTAAGTTATCTTGATATAAGGGATTAAATAACTGCTGTCAAATCAGTAGATGAGTGAGAGCTGAGAGAATAATACTGCCAGTGGTAAATTCTTGAAAATTCCTCCTCAGCATGGCTATGAGTCTTGACATCAGATCGGCCTTGACTTTAACTAATATACTATATTGCCATGTAAAATAACACACATGAACACTAAAGCAATAACAGGACTTTTACACTGTGTTATTGGTTGTGGTTTTTGCTAATTGTCTCAGTTATGTTTGTTATTCACCACAGACTTCATGAAACTAAAAATTGCTGTCTTGGCCATATAGTTGTAGTAGAAGTGTTTCTTTTTTTAGGATGTCTATAAAACGTTATGCAGAGGAGCAATGGATTAGACTTGGAAGGGAAAATAGAAGCTTGCTCAGGGTGTTGAGGATGGAGCCAGGCCTAGGGTTATAAAAACCATCTGGACTGGAGGCATAAGATCTGCAGTAGCTCTTGTGGTCACTCCCAAGAGCTGTCGCTGGTGACTAGTCAAGAATCTGTTTCTCTTCTTGTCTTTCCAGTCTGTACGTTGCTGCTAGCATTGGCCCAGCCAAGTTCTCGCTGCCTGAACTCAAAATGCTTTCTTGTTTCGTTTGGTTCTTATAAGCCCAAAAGCCATTATCAGGTGGTTGCAGTAACCGATAATGAAAGTAAGATGTTGCCCTCTGCTGGCTGTCATCTTTAGAAAGAGGAGAGAAAAATAAAAAATCATGGGCCTTAGGGCTTTAAAATGGGAATGACTTTTTAATAAGGAAGGGATTTTGACATACCTGTCTTCCCACCTTCAGACCCATGTTTTTATTAGATATTAAATATAAATTACTATTACATAGTGATACAACCGTAAGTACCACTGTCACAGTCTCAACAGTAAGCATTAGTATGTTTTGAAGACCATAGTTTTGACTTCTTGTCCTATCTTATTAGTAATGGTTTTATATAAATGTCAGTTGTGCAAATGAACATGAAGCCAGAATCCGATTTCTGTAGCAACTGTACTCAGAAGTAAAAAGATATCTTCCCATTTCCTTTTCAAATTGCTAGTCCTTGTAGCCCACCAGACATTGAGATTAATTCCAGCTGCGTAGTGTGAAGCCCACTTTCCATTACTCGGGAAGGAATTTGCTGGCATGTTAGGTTGTGGGGCTAGTTGCAAGGGTGCTCTTAACAGCGGGTAGAGAGCACACTGATGCCACCACACAGCAGCCTTTCCAGTACATTGCTGGCATTATGGGAAATGGGAGATCTTGGCAGGGGAGACAGTAAGTGAGAGCAGTAGAATTACTGTCTCAGTGATCCTTGTTTTGCAGGAATGGCATCAGGATCCTTACTGCTTTTATGTTCTCTATGGAAAAGAGAAGACTGGGCATAAATGTGGTATTTGGTGGTTTGGGATTTTTTTGTTCTTTTTAGCCTCCTTGTGTTGAAACCAGAGGTCCCCTTGCCCTTTGTAGAAACCTTCCTGAAGTTCTGATTACAGCTTCCATTTAGGGTTGCTTCTTGAGGTCCAGTACAAAATCGTGGTGGCAAGCTCAGTCCAGAATATTTGAACACCCCTGAGCAAGGATTTAGCATTTACAGCAATCTGGTAGATTAGCAGGTATCTGATAAAACTTCAAACCAGAGAAGCCTGCTTTCAAGGTGAGCACTTAAGGTGGCTAAAGAAAATTGAGCTTTTGGTGATTGTCTCTTATCTGCTGGTGATATTAGCCACAGTTTGGTTAAGCAAAGACAATTTAGCGGGTGTTTTCTAATGGGTTTCAGGTGAAGACAACTGGGTTAAATCAACCTGGTAATAGACATTTCTTGAGTTAACCCATCTTTGTCAGAGCATGTGAATGTCTCCTTATTGGCTATCTATGTTTACTTCTCACAGAACTTTGGAATAGAAACCCTTCAGCTGGTGGAAGATTGTAGGCAGCTGGACAATAGTTACCACTCTCCCAAACAAATATGTTGAAAGTAGGATATATATAACCTTAGTTCTGTTAACAAAAGCAGTTCTTCAGGATAAATGAGCTAGCAAATAAGCAGTTCTTGGGGGGACTCGGATTATGCAGTAGTGCCTACCTTTCATATTACAGTTGTATTTTAAGTAGTGAATATATTTTCTAGTTCACCACCACCCACTGCCAAAGATAAATGCTCCTGTTGCTGAGATTGACTCCAAGTACATAGAAGTGCATGTGCCTTGCCCAATAAGATGGTTACATGCCTCTCTATTAAGTTAATATTGAATGCTTTTTTGAGATCTTAATCCTGAAAAATATAATTTAGATTTTATCTGTATGAAAATTCCTACATTTAACAGAAAATGGGACTGCAATAAAACAGCGTAAATTTGTTGTGAAAGAAAATAAGTAGAAAAATAGAAAATAGTATAGCTGGCTTCACAGTTTAGCTGGTTCTGTATTCATCTTCACTTCCTGTTGTGTCAATTTTCAAGTAGGCATCATGTAAATAAAAGGCTTAGTGGTTTTGAACAGAAGGAAACAGCAATAGCAGCTAATCCCTTGACAAAAACACCAAAACCCTTCTGGACATGAAAGGTATAGGAACTGCTGGGGGACTGCTTCTGTTACTCTTTGTTTTAAACTTTTAGGAACTTACAGTGGGAGAAATTTAACTGATTTCAGTCCATAGTAAATCCTGTTTCAAAATGTGTTGAATTTACATAGTATAGCTTATATTACAACAAAACAAGCATGTGAAATTTTTGGTTTCCTTTATAGGTGATCTCTATGGTGCCATAGGCTCTCCAGTTAGATTGACTCGAACTGTTATTGTTGGAAAACGCAAGGAGTTGGTGCAGCGCTTGCTCTATGTTCTAACTTACTTCATTCGGTGCTCTGAGCTGCAGGAAAATCAACTGATGTGGAGTGAGAAGGCTGGGGAAGGAGAGCAAGTGCTAAATGGAAGCAAGATCACAACTGCACTAGAAAAAGGAGAGGTAGAGGAGTCTGATTATGTAGTTGTCACTGTTAAAAATGAACCTGCTCTTGTGCCTCCAATCCTACCTCCAAAGAATGATGGAAGTAAAAACAATAGTATTACAGAGTGGGTACATGACCCAGAAAGCACTCATGCTGTCTCAGCCTCTTCAAAAGAAAAGAGAGAAGTGATAGGAAAGGCCAGTCAGAACTCCGAAGCATCTGTCGACTGTCTAACTAGCAGTTTTCGTAAAGGAGCAGGTGATGGTAGGAAAAGAACTGTCACGGATACAGGAATCGTATCCTACCACTTTGAAGAGCCGTCTAAATTGGAGGATTTAATGGATATAAAGAAGAGCAAGAACCAGAATGAGAGAAAAGTGGAAAAGCAATTGTCTAGTAGGTCATCTGCTTTACCTTGTCCTGAAAGGACTGGCCACAGGAGTTCACACTTAGAAAAGGTCACCTTTCAGATTGGAAGTTCTGCATCACCAGAGTCAGACTTAGAAACTCATAGAAAAGAAATGGAAGAAAGTCTGAAAGCATTCAGAAGAAATCCAGAGGTGATACATTGTGCCTCAAGTTCCACAAATCTGACTGTGGATGCTTCCCTGAATCAGAAAGAAAGTTGTGAAGCTGTCTTTATACCCTTCAGTAAACATAATGTTTGTTATGCACAAATCCCACCTTGTGAGGGCAAGGAGAGTATACTTAACCAACGTATGGAAAGTAAAGGAACTGAAACTAATTTAGTGAACACTATATCTAGTGAACCACTTTTGTCCACAGATAATATAGAAACTGTAAAATTGCCAAGCCTAAAAGAAGCTAGAATTTTATGTTCTGGCAGTCTGGAGAACTGTTCCCATGGCTGCATGGAAGTAGGTTCTGCTGTCAAAGAGGATTCCCCTAAAGTAGGTGCTAAAGATGTCCCCTATGGGGATGCTGAAAGGAAAATCTCCTTCAGAGTTGAAGGGGACATTCCAAGGAATGAGAGTTCAGACAGTGCCCTTGGAGCCAGTGATGAAGAAGGTGACTGTTGTATCCCTGATGAAGTGCATCATGATAATGTCAGCAAAAGACTTGAAGAGTTTGCAGAAGTGGAACTTCCTTTACCAAGGTAAGGAAGTTTAAATTAATTTAGAACTAAATGGAGTCAAAAGCTGTTGCTACTTTAGAGATGGTCAGGGTTTCAAGTCTGAAATCCTCTGGGATCTTGACGAAGTTCCTTGCAAAAAAATCCATAACATACCGTGATCTGGTTTGGATCCTTGTAAACAGACTTGACAAAAAGAAAACAAAGATGGAGCAGGCTTAGGTAGCAAAGTTTTGTGACAAAAGTGTTCTTCAAATGTCTAATAAGTGATCAAACTTTTTTTGTATAAGCTGCCTGAAACATTTAATGTATACATGTAGACAGAACATCTGAGGACAAGCAGAACTTTGCTTAAACTGATAACTGTTTAGATTTGACATGTTTAACAAATCAAAGACAGATGTGAAATAAGAGCATCCTATTTGAAAAGTTTTGAACTTTGCAGTTACTCGTGGAGCTTGCTGATGCTTAAGGCAGGTATCTAGAAAGAGTTTACTTGGGCTGAGTGGAAGAAAATTCAGATTTAGCAAATCTGTTAGGTGCAGAACAGAGAGCTCATACATACCACAAGCTGTAATACATGTAGGTTAGTCTTTTCATAAATTTGAAGGAATTAATACATTGTTAAAGTTCAGCTTTTAAAAATCATTGCTTTGAAGAGCACTGGTAATTGGTTTACTGTATTTTGAGTACAATTGTTGATTAATAATTGCAGTAGAAGCAGGGGTGATAAACCGAAATTTGAATTCATGTAAAATCTGAATGCAGTTTGTCAAGCAAGAATCTTATCTGCTTTGTATTTCTGTATTTCAGGTCAAATACAATCAGCAGTCAATGTGTGAAAAACTTTGGAAGATCACTTCTAGGTGGTTACTGTCACACATATATACCTGATCTAGTGCTACATGGAATAAATAATGATGACAAACTCAAGCAGTGTCTACTAGCAGACCTACTTCATGCAATGCATGTGAGTTAAAGTTCTGTTCTAAGTCATAGTGGGAGTTGTGATATTACTGAGATCTACAGAAGCAAGTCCTTTGAATAGGCTTCTTTCTACTTACCTGTTCTTAACAGCCACACCTGACATGTCTTCCTTCTAAAAAATGTAAGCCCTTAATTCATTGTATGCAAAGCCTGTTCATGCAAGAATCATGTGTGCTTTGCTTTACCCTCTCTTAAGGCTTTTCTTCAAAGATAAACACAAAAAAAGTTGTTCACAACTTTGAGTTACAAACAAGGAAAAAAACCCCGTCAAATTTCTTTTCAGTCACAGTAGCAGACAGAATCATCTATATTTCATAAAAACTATATGCAAGTTGAAACATCTTATTTTGCCACTTAGTGGCATGTGTTGCAAGGGAGATGAAGCCTTGTGGAGGCCTATGTTAGACTAGACTTCAGCAGAACTGACTACAGAAAGTAATTGTCTACAGGTAGACAATTGTCTATAGGTAGACATGGCTTTGTTCTCTAGGTACTCCTAAATTATATAACTAATATAACTAACCTTTTACTAAAGTCACTGTGTGACCTTAGTATGCAATTTTAAATGTTCATCTCTTACTAGTCAACAGTTTCTCTAGCAATTAAGAATCATCCTGCTAGAATGAGTTCAGGTACTATCTGAAAGTGAAGCGTATGTATGTAAATTTAAACATCAGATTGGTCTAATACAATATTGTCTCTTCATACATACCCTGCCTTGATTGTGCGTAGTGAAATCTCCCACATAATCTCTGGAACATTAAATATACTTTAAACATCGCTCTATCAGTTTAATTACTACAGTTTTCATTTTGGAAGAACCATCTTTTCAGAGAAGGTGGAATACTTGGAAAAAAAAAAATTGGAGTCGTGACTTGTGAAGCACTACTTACTCACAGACAGAATCATCTAGGTTGAAAAAGACCTTGAAGATCATCTGATCCAACCATTAACAAAACACCGACTGTTCTTAAATACACCATATCCCTCAGCGCTACGTGAACCCAACTCTTAAACACCTCCAGGGATGGGGACTCCACCACTGCCCTGGGCAGCCCATTCCAATGCCCAACAACCCGTTCTGTAAAGAAATGCTTCCTAATATCCAGTCTAAACCTTCCCCGGTGCAACTTGAGGCCATGACCTCTTGTCCTATCCGTTGTTACCTAGTTAAAGAGACTCATCCCCAGCTCTCTGCAACCTCCTTTCAGGGAGCTGTAGAGGGCGATGAGGTCTCCCCTCAGCCTCCTCTTCTCCAGACTAAACACCCCCAGTTCCCTCAGCCGCTCCCCGTACGACCTGTGCTCCAGACCCTGCACCAGCTTCGTTGCCCTTCTCTGGACACGCTCGAGTCATTCAATGTCCTTTTTGTAGTGAGGGGCCCAAAACTGAACACAGGAATCGAGGGGCGGCCTCACCAGTGCCCAGTACAGGGGTAAGATCCCTTCCCTGTCCCTGCTGGCCACGCTATTGCTGACACAAGCCAGGATGCCATTGGCCTTCTTGGCCCCCTGGGCACACTGCTGGCTCCTGTTCAGCCGGCTGTCAATCAACCACCCCAGGTCTCTCTGACTGGCAGCTCTCCAGCACTCCTCCCCAAGCCTGTAGCACTGCTGGGGGTTGTTGTGGCCCAAGGGCAGCCCCCGGCATTTGGCCTTATTGAAACTCCTCCAGTTGGCCTCAGCCCATGGCTCCAGCCTGTCCAGGTCTCTCTGCAGAGCCTCCCTACCCTTGAGCAGATCAACACTCCCACCCAGCTTGGGGTCATCTGCAAACTGACTGAGGGTGCACTCGATCCCCTCATCTAGATCATCAATAAACAGAATTAAATGCCTTGATCAAATTGGCAGTTAAGACTTAACTGACCTGACGTTGGTGAATGTAAACTCTGTCACTGAAGTTGGTATTCCTCATCATTTTTGAGATGTCTTTGCTTTCCTGTTGGACAAAAATATTCATTGGATCACTTATTCCCTGCCTCAGTGTGAATAAAGGCAGCACCTCAGTCTAAGTTGTGGAAATGTATGTGAAAGTGACACATAATGTTTGTGTTTTGTATTTGTTGCAGCATCCTGTGCTAGATGAGCCCATAGCAGAAGCTGTCTGCATTATTGCAGACACAGATAAATGGAACGTTCAAGTAGCTACAAGCCAGAGAAAGATGATGGACAATATGAAGTTAGGCAAGGATGTTTTGGTTTCAAGTCAAGTATCCAGTTTATTGCAGTCTATTTTACAGCTTTACAAACTCAACGTCCCAGCTGACTTTGTAAGTATTTCTTTACTGAACATAATGAAATTTTTTTAGCTTAGATAGAAAATGCAGAGTTTTGTATACCATGTTTCTATACCAATGAACTAACGTCTGAAATAATGCAGAGTTGGTACAACTTACTTCAATGAATGCATGCTACAGTCCAGTAACAGATACTGGTTTATCTGTAACATATCTGGTGGAATAGCTAACATTAATCAAATCTAAAATACATGTGCCAAAACTAAAGTTGTTCAGGCAATTTTAGCATAGTCCTCATGCGTTTATGATTAGGGCTCTTAAATTTGGCTTTTATTTTTCTGTTTGTATAATTTTTACACTTTATGTTGTTGAAGCTTCTATCTACCCAAGCCTGTTTCTAGCATACAAGAATACTTTGTATTCTTGGGTTTTCTATCCTGCCCCGTGCAGTAGATGCCTCTTCTCTCTCCTCCCCAAATAATTGTGCCTCTGTGTGTGTTTACTTGACCCTTCTTCTGAGCATTTTTTAGCTAAGCCTGTCAGCAAATGCTGTCTCAGCCTTGCTGATGTCTCCATAGGATTGTTGGGAGGAGTCTGAAACCTGAAAACACCTGGGGGTGGGGGGGTTGCAGCAGGGGATGTTACTTTGTCATATTGTGTACTCCCTATCCCCCAGCATTCTTTCCTGTCCTCATTAGTAGTGGAATTCATCAGAGCAACTCAGTAATGCTGGTTTTGCTGACTACAACAAATTACCCACAAGTCTGACAGTGGTAATTATAATACAGTTTTTAATGCACAATTGTAGGTGACAGGAGATGGGGTGTTTTTTTCAGTAGTAACCCCTCTTTCAATTACTGCAATTGATTTGTCCTTCAGCAGATAGCCTTAAGAAACTTTGTAGGAAGCCTGTGTAATGACTGTGCTAGCAGATGGAAGAGGAAGATAGAGCTAAACAGTAACAGCTGTAAATAATATTAGTTGGCACTGGTTTGGGTAAAATTATTGGTATTGATTACACTGAGTTCTTGAAGTCGAGTGCTAGGCAAAATATGTGGATACATTGTCAGTGTTGTCCCTGGATTCTTCTGGTCATCAAAAAAAAAAAACCCCAACGTAATTTGATTAAAATAGTATCCTAACACTTGCATGGTAACACCTTAAATTCTGACTTTTTTTAAACTGAATAGTTGATTTTGCAACTGAAGTGTTCTTTCCAGTGTTGATTTGGGGTTTCTGTATGCAATTTCTGTATGCTTTGTGTGGTGTGAGAAGGGTTTGGAGGTGGAGTGTTTTTCAGGGTTTATTTCCTTTTTATTTTTATTTTTTTCCTCAAAAAGAAACAGTGAAGTGGCAGTGCTAGTAGTTTGTAAATTTTCGATAAGACATGTTAGAGACACTTTGATCCTTCTGTCAGTGGATTTTATAGCTCTTTGCTAAAACAGAACCATCAGTGTATGGAAGTTGTGCCCACTAAACTCTAGGGGGAGAAGTGTGACTTTTTTATTTTAGTGATTCTATTGAGTTAAATTTTGACAAAAACATATGTACTAATATTGATCAGAGTGAGCATAATGCTGTATGTTTGAAGTTTCCTTTAGGAGTGCATGTTTCTTTACATGCAGTTACTGTTCAGATGAATAAGTCTTTTGGGGTTTTTGTGATACAACAAAAACCAAAACCCAGCTTAAGACTGGATGAAAGGCAAGTGATGGTATCTTGGTTGTGGCACTTCAAACTAGTAACCGTACTGCAGAGAGCTTTGCAGCATGTCAGGGCAGGAGGGAAGTGATGAGTGCAACTGCCGTATGTCAGCAATATGTCAACAATTTTACATGCACCTTTAAACTCATTTTAAGCTACTTTTCTATTATTAGAAGTGACTTGACTTATTTTTTTCTGTTTAGTCAATGAGAAAAGCTGCAGAAGAAGCTAACATAAAAAAAAAAAACCTTCTGTACCTCGCTTAATGTGGACATTTTGAACAAAATGGATTCAAGTACCAAGCTTATGGGGAAAAATGTCTTTTGATTCTTTGCTGACATTCAGGAGGAGCAGATAATTTTACGTAAAGAATCTCTCTTCTAGAATAATGTGGGATTCTTCCACAGTTGTTCACAACTTTAAAAAAATCCATAATCTTTCAGCATGCTTACTGGAATTGAAATATATTGAATGCTAGTTTCTGAATTAGCTGCATGCTCCCCTGAACCACTGAGGAAGTGTTCATAGGCTTTTTGCATTTGGGCTACCTGGAATGGAAAAGATAAGAATGTTTCCCATTCAATTAGAATCAGAAGTGTTATGATTATAATGACTTAACTGAAAACTTGCTTGAAGCAAATAGATCAAACTCCTCTCAAAAAGCTTTTGCTTCTCCTCCACTAGTGGCAGTGATCTTATTCTATTATGTAGCAAGGGTTTTTTAAATGCCTCTATCTTCCATGATTAAGACCTGATACAAGCTCAGAGTATTGTTAAAAAATCTTCATCTTGTTCCAGACAATCAGAAAAATACATGGTAGGCTATCTACAAGCATGAGTTGTCTTTTTGCTCATTAATTAGCAAAACTGGTTTCACGGGATCTCATTTCTAATACTTATGATTTTTATTCAACTTCAAAAGTACATTGGACGATGGCCTGAAGCTGTTTGCTGCTACTGTTTCTAATTGCTGTCTACGCCTGCCGGATGATTATATATTTGATAATATGAGGTTCTGCATGCGATTCCTGCCTTCATCTCCTGGACTTTGGAGACCTGAACTAATTTAACTTCTTTGAAGTGGTCATTCCTGTGAAAAGAAGGAATATATCAAATTGAATGTACCTTTTGTCCTAGAACAAAACACCTGACAATACATCCTACCTACTCACCTCGTGAAGACATCCTACCTACTGATCTTGTCTTACCAAAAAATCATTTCTTTCTCTTTGAAGCTAAGGTTCATCTGCCTTTCATGCAGTTGGTGTATGAGAAATTACCATGCATCACATGACTGTATTTAAAAATAATATGCATTTTTAGCATGCTCCTGCTGAAAGAAAAGGGGAGTACTTAAATTGGTAATTCAACTTAACTATTACCTTTTGGCAAACAGCATCAAATGTTTAAGCAATTTTAAACTATACGTACCTAGGACTAATAAAAACAAATGCCTAAAGAGGATTCATAACCTAGCTTTTACAGTAAAGCAGTGAACAAAAGAGCTATAATTTTATGACAAATAAGATAATGGTATCTTATACTTCTTGTGTCTTAGTTTCTTGAATGGCAGATTCCTAGAGCTAAAGTGCTATTTTTAGGAACTGTTGTCTAAAGTGAGTTTCAGAAAAAAAAATAGTACTGACTTATAACAAAGACATCTTGATCCTAGTATTCTGGTTTGTCTCTTGAATGTCTTGAGTGTCTTTGAACCTGGTTAAAACTATTTTAGGTCAGCAGAAACATTGTGGCTGACAGAGTGGAAAAGGGATGTGCAGTTTGTGCAACAAACTTGCTGCCCAGAAAAGCTAGAATGCCCCAGTTCTATGAGGGAATGCCCTTTTGAGAGGGTAGTGTAACTTTTTAATGTAGCTAGCACCGCTGAAACAAAACCAAATGCAGCTTCTGAATTTTTGGAGTGGAGATTTAGTTTGAAAGATGTTCTAGCTAAGATAAAAGCTAAAATTATATGCTTACATTTCTGTAAAATTTGCATGTGATTGCTTAAGCCGTTCTGAGGTTTTTGGTCTGTGTTTACAGTGCATAATGCATCTTGAGGATAGACTACAAGAGATGTATCTCAAAAGCAAAATGCTTTCAGAATATCTGCGAGGACATACAAGAGTGCATGTAAAAGAACTAGGAATTGTGTTGGGGTGAGTATTGCAGGTATTGGTCTTAACCAATGGCAAAACTTGGGGCAGTTGTTTTCCTTTTCAGTTTCTGATGTTGTCATCTTGTTCATCTTGAGGACTTGATTCTTACTTCATATTTAGCACTCTCCCCTTTCATGTACCTAATAAAGTGTAAAAATGTGTTCTGCTGAGCCATCTGGAAAACAGGAGGAAGCACAGTTCTACAGCAAGAAAAATTACTTTTCATTCTGAAGATTTAAGAATGACGGAAGTTTAGATTTTGGTCATTAGGAGGTTATCGATGCATTTATTCCCACTCTGTCTTGATCTCCATAATGAAAACTTCATGCCAACAAGTACTTGAGCATTTTTGGAAGGTTAGGTGGTGCAGTTGTATCGAGGGTTCTCAAAAAGCAGGTGTAGGAAAATAGACAGGTGCCCTGTTTGGCAGCTGTCTTCTAATAATAGTACTTGATTAGCACACAACCTTTAGGGATGCACCTGCTGACATCAGAAGAGGGGGAAGGGGGAAGAAGTGAATACATGTTCCCAAGAAGATAAGTTTTAGCACTGTAGCTTAAACTTAATTTATCTTTATCCACACTGTTCAAGATTTCATACTGAGAAATATATCTGTATAGTGAAACCCTGAAATATCACTTTTCTCAGTGTGTGTATATGTGTATAAATATACACACGTGTTCTGGCCTCTTAGCAGCTTTACATTTGGAAGTGGTTGGTAACTGACTGGTGCATTGGAGAGACATTCTGTTATTACATCATTAATAAGTGCATCTTTTGGGCATTTTTGCTTAAAAATGTGCTGCTATATGGTGGACTGAGTTATATTCAAAACATGAAATGCAGTCTCCCATAAACTGATGTTTAGCACTTTCTTGAACAGGTCTTATCGGTGCCTACTGACTGGTAAGACTACAAGCTAAGGTTTATTGCTTAATAAACAAACAAAAGTTTTCATTCCAGCCTCAAAAGATAATATACCACAAACTGTACTACTGCTGTCTTTTGACTTAAATAGTAGCATACTTCTTGGTTTTAAACATTATTACCTACCTTTACTGGTATGTTATGACTAATGGCAATAAATAATAATTAAACAATGAACTCAGTTATAGCAAGACATTTCCAGTTTCTTTAAAGTGGATGAAAAATATCTTGTGTTTATCTTTTGTGAAGGTGACTGTATATTTTAAAGTCTGTCTCTTTTTTTTTTCTTAATTTCTAGGATTGAATCCAATGACTTGCCTTTGTTGGCTGCTATAGCAAGTACACATTCTCCATATGTTGCTCAAATACTCTTATAAATTAAAATCTCAGGATAGTCATTCCCTTAAAGTAAAGAAAATGGGAATGTTGAATGAAGAAAAGAGGTGCCAAACACTGGTAAAGGGGAACACTGAGGAAAGCAGGTGATGACTGTACATTCTCCCACCTTCCGATTCTGATTTCAACCGGATGTTTTATCGGAGGACTTCAGTTTACATAACGTAAAAGGCATTCAGGTTTTTCTTACAATCTCACTTCTGACTTAAATCAAGAAAGTGACTGCATCCTTGCATTTTATTTTTATTCAAAGGACAAAAGTTAACACTATGTGGCAGACCAGGAGCTGCCGTCCAAAACGCTGCTCAAAACCATGAAGTCACAGTTAAAAGAACAAGTGGGTTAGAATGGATTTCATAATACTACACTTGCAAGTGTGGTGTGCTGTATGTTTCTTGGCTGGCGAGGAAGAGGAGCTGTAAACTATGTATATAACATTCCTATACACAAGTGTATTAGATGGGACATGATTTTCTTGCAGAGTATAGTAGAAGTGGTGGCTCAGAACAAAGAACCTGGATTCAGCAGCCAAATGTAATGTGGGAATGGAGGTGTACATGAGGTGATGTGACTTGTCCCATTAAGGATGAGGCTAGAAAGCTGTGGCTGCTTATGTTTTAATGAGGAGGCATTCAAATGAGCCCATGACTAGAAGTGGAATGGAATGAATTTCTGAGATAGGGATTTTGTTGGAAAGCCTTATGGAATTTCAGTTTACATTTGTTGCTGATGCAACTTCAATAACTCTTTTGAGTTTCTGTGTGACACTAGTCCTGGGAACTAAGCCTGTGTCTTGGTGTCAACAAGTATTACTATCTCTGAGGAGTATGAATTTGAGAAACCTTCTGTATGATACCAGTGCTGTTAGCGCGTGTCTGTGCGCATGTACACCAAGCAGTTGGCACAAACTGAAAACAATCTTATTGGGAAAATAACAAACACCCCCCCACCAAACCTTTAGTCAAAAGTATTACTTTTTCCAGCTACTAGTTACCACTCTAGGAATAAAAGAGGAGCATTGTTTGAAGTAAAATGAAATGTAGGGGAGAAACCCCGATATTTGGTATTACTATGAATGTTTGCAATTACCCTTTTTGATTCTACGGAAATCTTGAACTATCGTCTGGGTGCCTTTCCTTAATAGGTTAACTACTCTGAGACCAGAAACTACTTCTCCACTAGCTAATACTGGCCTTCTGTATTTCTAGAAAGCAAAATAAAATTTTGTATTTTAATGTTTTCATGTGGTTGATAACGTGAATGTAAAAAAAATAAACTTTTTTTCATAAAGCACTCTTAAGCTGGATATGAAACTATGGATCAGACTGAGGAGAGAACAAAGAATCAAAACAAACATTCTTAAAGAAACAGAAAACTCAATGTTGGACCATTCTGTTGTGAGCCAGCATGAATGAGGTGTCTGATATTGTCAGCTTGCAAGCAAATTGCTAGCAACACAATTGCTTGGGAATAGTAAATTCTAGTAAGAAACTCCTGGTCACTGGTTGTGAGTTCTCCTCATTGGTGATTACAGATTTTTAACACTGAAGGGACACACTTTTATTAAAAGTGTTTTTATTTCCTACTACCTTGATGTTTGGACTTTTCTACAGTAAACTTTCAATGATTTGAAATAATGAGATGTGCATATTGTGACTTGTTTAAATGTGATGGAAGTCTTGATTAACCTTGTGTTGCTTTTTGAGGGAAATAGGTAGACTGACCTACTGTGAAGAGAGGTTGTTTCCAAGTGGAGGGATACTTAATATTCTGATACAACGCTTCTAAAGCTGTTCCTTATATGCTGGGTTTTTGACCTGACATTCCAGATGTTTATTTTATTGCATTTTCATACTTGTCCCTAGTATTCTGCCTAAAAAGGCTAAAATCTTTCTATGGTTCAAATTTTCTCCTACTGCTTATAACTAAGCAAACATGTCTTTGGTCTGTGAATCCTTTTATCTGCTGGAAAGTAAACTTACCTCTGCATATAACTGTTAGCAGGCATCACTCTAATCCACAAGGTTAAGACAAAGTGAGAACCATAGAGCAAGGCACATTTTCATAAACTACTGCTGTGATGAGAATGTGTGCGTGCGCAAGATTATGAAACTGCTTCCCTGAGTGTATATAGAAATCCTCATGTAATTTCCCTATTTCATGTCACTCTTAAATAGTAGCTGAGTTCATTGAAAGTAAATTCCAGTTCTCTTAAAGTATTAGTTGGGTTTTTATCTGAACAGACTCTGGCAATTCCTCAAAGAAATATGTGCAAACATAGAAATATGCTTTTTTAATAGAGTGTACTAAGTAGGTCAAAGGTCAGCCAACACTCAGTGATTCCAAGACTAATACTATTATCAGTAACACCTGATTTTACTACATCAGCTATTTAATTTTTTTTTTTTTAATCTGCCTTTTGGCAAAACATTAAATTAACCTAAGGGATGGCATTTGAGCCGGTGGTGAAAAGAACTTGGATTTTCTTCAGCCCAGGCTAAAACTTTGTAGTTCTTGCTGCTTTCTCTAACATTTTGCTGCTTTTCAGAAATTACATGATGAACTATCTTGTTCTCACAGTTTTAGTTTTGGGGGAAAAAAAATCCACAGTGAAAACTGTTTATTACCTTTAAAAGACTAGAGAGTTAACTAAGAAAAGTTAAACATATTTCTCCCTCCACCAAATGTACTACCTCAGTTGACAGGATTCCACCTTCTAGGGCTTTTTTGACTCTTAAGTCTTGTTTTTGGTAGCATCTTGCTGTTTATGTAAATTAGCGCAGCATGTAAGTACTTACAGATGTGTTGTTAGACATCTTTAGGGCATGTTTCTGATTTTATTTTAATAGGATGAAAAGTGATATGAATGTACAGATGTGTTTAAAGTTGATAATGTAGCTTAATTTTCAAATATTCCAAAGTTGGTTTTATCAGTATTACATAGTTTTTTGTAAACTTAAATACATACTTTCTTGATTAAGTGGGAGTGCACAGTCTTTCCAAAATCCCACATAAATGCAGTTTACATTTAAAGAATGTATGCTTTTTTCAGGCAAGACTAAACCTTCACAAAGGGGAGGAATGAACTGCTAAATTGTAGTATTTGATTTGAACAGATTCTTTAGCCCCAAATGATACCAAGATCTAAACATTTTATTTTAAGTAGGTACTCTGAACTAATGTATACAACTTTCTTCTGCCCAAAAGAAACTCCGTAGACACTGGTTCTGTAATTCACATTTCTAATGGCATCTTCCAGTTAAAGATTGATCTTCCCCACTCCCTATTATATGCATCTTTACTCTTAAAGTCAAAACCCCTTTTCAGACACGCTAAACTGTTGTATATAAAGTTTACGCAAAATGATCTCTTATCCCTCAAGTATAACTTCTACTTCAGTTAAAAGGACCTAAATTAAAATCGAGTCTGAACTGCTGAATATAGACTTTTTTTTTTTTTAGGTCAAGGGGGCTAATTTGACATACATAGCAGGTTTTCCATAGTAGAAAAAAAAAATGTGTGTTGCTATTGCATGTTTGGAGAGCATAGGCTTTTTTAGGAATGACTGAATACCAATGTCAAACTACATGGGTTTTTTTCTTATAGTTGTTTATGTATGCTATCATTTTGGTCTATTTCTTTGCGGCATTTGGTGCAATAAACTTTCTGAAATGAATGTAAGTGGTATTTGGTATCTTCATTTTTAAAACTTCTGAAATAGCTGTTCTTGTTGGAGTTGAGATCTAATAGTGCTTGGGCATGCAATAACCTATTAGTGGAGTAAATAAATGTTCCAAGAAATGTCTAGCAGGAAGGCTTCACAAAATTTGGAACCTGATTGAACCTTTTGGTATCTTTGTTACCCCACTTATATATGTAAGCAAGAGCTCTCATAGTGTGAGAACTCGCTGCAAAAAATAATGGAAAGTAAAGACAGTAACTGTTGGAATAGGTCCTGCAGAGGTTTCCCAGACCTGTGTGGCTGGCATTTACCTCAAGTGCATGTGGAAAGAGCTATGTGAAAATGTGTTGCTATTACATAATATACAAATTTTAAAATTATTCAACCTAACAGGAATGAGTGACACCTTGTGTCTACTAGATGGTGAATTGGTTAATGGACTTGACATGAATTAGCTTAAAATAGAGGTCTTCAATTTGTATCAAACTTCCCATGACCTGAATTTCTATTTAGTATTCTGCAGCTTACTGGAAAGTCCTTATTTATGAAATAAAAATGGAAAAGAGGTGGTCAACTGTACTTATGCTGAACATCTTTGAGCAGGTCTGAGTATAGTATGATTTGTAGGGTGTAAGCACTTCTTACCTGTTGACTGAAACATTTGAAGTTTCCTTGTTGGTCAGGCTAATGAGGATTGGAAATAAAACAAAAGCCCAGGAGCTTTATCATCAAGGATTTTTCACAGTGCCTGGAATACAGCTTCTGGCTTTCTGATCTGGCTGCAGTAATTATCAACTCTGGAGCACTTGGAAATAACTGATTTTCTCATGCCCAAAGGTGCTAAATGCTTGCGTGCACACACTTGAAATAAGGAGAAATGTCTGTTGCATTGTCTACTATGAATCCTGTGTGTACTCCGCACATATGGTGACCTGTTACAGAGAATAACCAGATACGGTGTTTCGTGAGAGTGAAATTTTTTTACTGTGAAAAGTACATGAAATGATGGTGCTGTAGTGAGTTGTAACCTCACTCCACCTTTCTTCTTGACAAACTGTCACTGGCTCCACATTTATCGGCCTTTGCTTTCATGAGAAGACTTGAAACCATTTAATAGCTAACCCCTATAACTAGGGGCAGACCCCAGTACCTTGTTTGGTCTTTCCTCCTGCAGTCTAGCTCCATCTGCAAGTTTCTTACACTGTGGCTTGCTCTGCTGCTCATTGAATCACTCCTAGCCAGGTGCAGCATGTTTGCATAAAAAAAGATGCTGATGGTTGTCTGCTGTGTTAACAAGTTGAATTTGGCTCCAATAAGTGCTAATGTAAGGGCAAGGGAAGAGATTGGACCCCTCAGCTAGAAACAAGAGAGGAAAGGAAGGAGATTGCTCCAGCTCCTGGTGTCTTTGATACTTGTGGGTCACTGGACTGGCTCCGCAGTTTCTGTGGGGTGGCAAACTGGGATTCTACCCAGGCTTTGTAAGGCTCCACAAAGCTCCTCTGCTCTGATTTCAGCACTTCTAAAAAACTGTAGTTAATCTGTCAGTCATATCAACTGGTTTAACTTTTTCTAAAGGATGCTTAACCAGTCTCATTCAAAATTCATATGATTGGGACCGTGGCAGGTTAGGAAGAGGCAGATGCACAGGTTGACCAGTATAAAATGGCCAAGCACTGGGAAAGGCTGGAGAGGGCTGCCAAGGAGCTTTTAGAACGGACAGCAGTAAAAGATAAAATAATACCTAGATTTGAAAAGCAAACTCTTGAACACTGCAGTCAAATTCTGTGATTTGTTCAAAAGATGACCTGAAATAATAAATATTAATGGTGAACAACTGATTTAACTATTTTCTCTCTTATATAAATGAAAAGGAGGATCTGTAACAAGGACTTCAAGGCTACAGCAGGCATAAATAAATATGAACTGTATCACAAAGTAATTAAGTCCTGTGCCAAATTCTGCCAGTCTTTCATCCCTCCTTTTGTCTCTAAATGAAAAAGTCCTATAACATAGCAAAGCTTTCTGCTAAGCATCCATGCACCATATTCTTTGGTTTTCTGTACATATACGGTGAAGAGAGCGTGACTGAACATGTCAAACTGGATTTTGGACATGAAGGACATGCAGCTGAGTGACAAACCATGAGACTGTGACCTATAAGGCTTCTGATCCCATATAAAATTAGCTTAAGTGGCCACATGCTAGTAATCCACATGCTGGCAAATTACTCTTACAATAGTTAGAGTCAGTTGTCTGTCTGGCACAACCCCAAAGCTAAAACAGTTTAAGTGGTATAAGTAAGAGTAGCATTTTGTCTTGAAATCCTAAAGGTCAATACAAAACCAAAGGACTTAGGAGTGACAGTCAAGCACTTAGAAGAAATCCAGTTTATGAGATTATACTTATTTTTGTTTGGAGCTACAAGAGAGATTCTACTGTGATCTGAGTGTTTGAGAGAGCGCAGATTCCCCTGAGGAAGGAGTTTCCCACCAAGGAAGAAAGCTCCTGTTCCTATAGGCAGAGAAATATTTGTGTATGTGGAAAGACAAAGTGATCCTTAGATCTGCTTGAGATCTTCTCAGGGAGTGGTTGTGCTGTCTGATAAGAGGGCCATAGGGTCAAGGGCTGGGATATCTGGCTCATGAAAATGTTTTTCCTTCCATTGGATTGAATTCCAGCTCTGTATATATCAAATTGTTTCAAATAGTCCTTAACTTTAACTACTATTTTAGCTCTATTTTACTACTTCATCTCTTTTTCCCTAAGCAAAATGAGCCCGGGGAGTTTTCTGTGCATTGCTGTCATGAATGTTTTCATTTTCTACAGTATTGTATCACTTTTCTGTTTTTGTTTCTAAGATCTGCACAGGCCCTATTAGCCTTAAGATAGACAAGTCTCCTAAAATTGTTCACTTTCGTTTTGAAAAATATAGGGGGTTTGAATTGAGCATTTTTTGTTGAACTGTTTGTGATTCCCTAGAACATGCAACTTTTTCGACCTTGAAACATGAACATGCTATGAACAATGTGAAATTAAAAATCACATTTCCAAACCATCAGTTCGTCCTGCCCTCTGTAAGGGACTGGCTCACGTCAGAGCACTACATTTCTGGTGCAAGTGCTTTAGTTCTTCAGGTTTGTTTCTAATAGAGAAAAGTCTACCTTACCTTTTGATTTGGGAAGCAGAGTTGCCTGGGATGCCCAAATCATTGCAGCGTATTTGCTGCATGGGTGAAGACAGCCTTCCTGGCTGCCCGAGTCCCAGGCCAGCCTGGTCCTTGCATTGTGGCTTTGTTGTTCAAGAAGATAGGGAGCAGGCTGCCTGACAGGGGGAAAAAGCAAAAATGGGAGATAGCACTGATGGAAAGATGACTTTTTTCCTTTGCCCTGCCTGCCCATAATTGCACTTCTGGCATCCTCCTGTCAGGGCTTGATGTCCCTAACATGAAAGGGTGACTGACCCTGAAGGCTTGTTGAGCAGTGTCCTCTGCATGCCTGCCTGGCATGGCTGCCAAAGGGAGTGACAAACTGACCAATGTCAGTGCAGTACAACTGGGGACATAACTCAGACACCAACGTTCCACGTGAGTTTGTCAGATCTGTGGTATTTAAACCATGTGTATTAGACCTAGCTCTGGCTACACCCCAAAGCTAGACAGTCGCCTCTGGTTTCCTGTGTGCCATTTTCTTCCCACAAGAATGCAATAATCTCTCCTGTTGCTCAGCAGTGGGTAAATACCAAAAGAAAAAGATGCAAAGCCCATTTGTGATGTTGCTAAATAAATTCTGAGTGTCATATTTAATTAATTGGGTAGTGGGAGCAATTGAAGGAGTAGCTTTGTGTTATTATATGCTTGAATTAAATAAGCTCTGAAGAAGACCTGGTGGCTTCCCAGGTGTGAGTGACGATGCTCTTGATAGATACAGGGAAACTGGTAATTCAAGAATGCTGTTCTAGTCTTCAGAAGGCTTCCTGTCCTGAGCCTCATGATATTTAAACTGTGTTGCTGCTAAGGACCTAATCTAACTAGCTCATCTCTGGGATCATACTAAACTTTACAGGGAAAAGCTGGCTTGCCTCCTCTCTGCCTTGCTTCTCTTCAAATTAGTATTCTCTCTTTTGTTCTAAACATGTGAAGCTTTTTCTGCCTGTCTGTTTTTGTGGCCAGCAACTGCTCTGCCAGCCCCAGAGAAAGCTGGTATGGACTTTGTGATTTGTGCTGAGGAGATTTCAAACCTTGATCTGGTTGGAGAGTAAGAGCTGGGTGGTCCCATCCTGGAGGCAAAGTGCTTGAAGCAGGGGTCCCTGGAAATCGCTGTCCCAATGAACCCAAGCAGCAAACTGCACCATCAGGTCATCTCACTGCTGATTGCTGAGTATCAGTAAGTGTCTCTCTTTCCCCAACAAAAGGGGACTACTCTGAAAATCATGTAACTACAGTTTTGCACACAGATGAGCTTGTTAGCAGTCTGTGGTGAAGTCTCTGGCAGCATCAGACCACCCTTTGCATTGTAACACTTCCAATAGTTTGATGACGGCTGGCTGCCAACATGCACACCACTGCCCTTTTTCTCAGGGCTGTGACACTGAGCTGGGATGCGTTGTAGTTGAGGTTGAAACGTGACTGTGAATTTTACGGTGTGGAGGACTTGTTCAAGTTAAATGCACTTTTACATGCTGTGTGGTGATGTATAGCATAGAGCATCCTGATTGCACAGCTTGTCAGTGTAGTACAACACTATGCAGTGATACTGAGATCATCTCTGGATTCATTAAACCTGTCTCTAATCACTCTGTGACACATCTTAATCTCAGTACCATGCTGAGTTAACCACACTGATTAATCATTCCTAATTCTTGATTAAGCTTGGCTGGTGGCAGGTCAGGAATTTTCACCCTGTGTCTGTGGCTCAGCATAAAAGCAGCTTCTGTTTGTTTTCTCAGCGTTCTGGTAATTACTGCCGTTCATTACAGAAGGATGAGGCACTTGGCCA